GGGCAAAGGTCATCTCTGGTCGGTGGGAGGCCAAACGAGCCAGTAACAGGAAACAGGAAGGGGTTTGCATCCAGACAAATTAGGCTTACCGACCATCAGAGCGGTTTATGTGCTGTGGTATTATCTTTCTCTAGCCTTCAGCGTCAAGACTAATACAAACCATCAATGACAGCACACAGAGTAGATTCAGTGCATTTTGTCAACTGACATATATATTTTGTCTCTTCTCTTGGGGCAGAATTGAAAACAGCAACATCGTAATAGAACTCTGCCGGATGAAGCGCAAGAACACTTGAATGAAAAGATATTATAGCTTTGAGCAACTGCTCTGCAGCACTTTCCTTTTGTGTGTGCATGGTATATTTTCTAATCAGTGTGTGCAGGGGAGGTGGCGGGTTCGGGTGCCAGTGGTTTGGCCTAAGGGCTAGCCTTTGACCTGGGAAGATAGCTGTAAAACAGCAGGGGGTTATTTCATGTTGTAAATAGCAAGTCACAGACATTTCCTTGTAAAAGTATGCATACCCATTATTTTTGTGTTTTTTAGAAATATTTATCTTGTGACTGTCTATCAGAGTGATGTGAAAATCAAGAAAAGGACTTTTTGAGATTGTGGTGTAAAGAGCAACCTTCCAATGCCTGTTGCTCTCCTATAGGTGGATGTGTTTTTCAGCACTTATCTTCGTATGCAGGCTTGCTGCTTCAATCAAGGTTTCCCACTAATCTTTCCAACAAGCAGTGTCACCCTCCAGAAAGAAATGTCTCGTGTTATAGGAAAGGGTGGCGAACTCTCCCAAGTCTTACTCCTCATCCTGTCCTTGCTGGCCACCTCTGTGCAATGATGCATTTTGTTTGCATTGTAAAATAAGAAGCATCACAGTGTCCATTTGAATTTTTGTGCGCCAAGTCTGTCTTGGGTAAGATTTCATCTGCACTGCTCTGTAAAAGTTTTTGAATTTCACAAGTTCATATTCAGCCCGCTTGACTCCAATACTCAGCATAACAAATTG